AGTGATATGTTGACTTACTGTAAGCTATAGCGTCTTTCATGTCACATCAATATTACTGTATCTTGGTAACAAATAAACTGTATCAGCAAACTAAAAACTGACACATACTTTCTCCCATAAGCCTGTAAACAACCTTTATCATGCGTAAGCGGTGGGAGTAACTATGTAATAGGGATAAATTACAAAAGCTGCAATAACTTTTGAAACGTAATTGTTACAGCAATGGGAGGTTGCACTATTTTTGTTTATAATTATAAGGACAATAACAAAACATTAATTTTAATCAAAACCGACTTTTTTCCTAAAATCCTATATTTTGATATTTTACTTACATGGGGAATAACATAAGTTACAATAACTTTTGAACCGTACTTTTTACGGAGATGGAATCTGTACCACTTTGTTAAAAATTTTAAGGACCATAACATACCACTTTAATCAAAACAGGCTTTTTTTTCTAAAATCCAATATTTTTACCTTTTATGGGAAAAATACCATAAGTTACAATAACTTTGAAACCGTAATTTTGACAGAAATGGAATTTGTACAATTTTTTCAGAATTTAAAGGACTAAATTTACTAAATTTGTATCAAAATCGTTTAGGCCGTTTTTGAGAAAATCTAATTTTTCCGTTATTTTATGGGTTTTAAGGAAAATTAACCATTAAAAATAAAAATTTTGAAAAAATGAATAAACGCCTGGAGATATATAATGGATTAGTACCTACGTACATCCACTCAAAACTCAAACTTTGAAAATTTTGCCGAAAACAATACTTTCTCCCTATACTATCTCAACAGATAGTAAACCCAGACAGCACACTTTATCCCAGGGACATCCCATAGTAGTCCCATATGTCCTGAGAATGTCTCGGGATATGTGCGCTATCCTCAGGATATCCCGCAAAATCCCGGGACGAGTACGAAATCCACAGGATATCCTACAATATACCGTAATGTCCCGGGATATGTAAGTTAACCTCAGGATATCCTGTAAAGTCCCGGGATATGTACGAATGCCATAGGATATCCCAGAATGTCCCATGACATCCTGGGACATGTACAAAATCCACTGGATATCCTGTAATGTCCCGGTAACAAACTGAAGAAAAAAATACTACCACTGATGAAATGTACAGTATATCTAAATTTAAATGTTCAACAAGGCCAATATATAATAATTTGTTTTTTTCACTAGTGCTTTCAGAAACTTGGTTTCCATCTTCAGGCTGTGTTTACACTAGTACAAAAAGTAAATATTTACTCAATAAATTAATTTTAAACAAAGTTAAAACAGATGATCTAAAGGATATTGGAAAAATAAAAAATAATATTACAAAAATTAATCTTTTGAATTTTGGATATGTTACAGTGTTGTTCTTGATGTAATTATTTTCAGTAATTCCGAATTTATAATTGGGCCGTCTTCATTATTTAACAAATAATTTTGGTCTGTTTTTTTTCCTAAAAATAAGATTCCCACGCATTAAGATGTTGAGGTTTTATAATTTATTTTAAAAGTTTAAGGTTTCCCAGATTGAAAATATGTCTTGTTAATACTATGGCTAGCAAGGGTTGACTTAACTTTACTGACATATTACTACCACTGAGTTCAGGAAAACTAGAGTTCTATCATAGTTGTGTGGAATGTGAATTTAATTCTAACTTTAAATTAATAAAACAACAAAAAACTAATTTTAATCATATAACAATCAATTATTACAGTGCTAATCTAATCTATATAATTAATACGCTACATGAAACTTTGTCGGTTGAACTCCTCCGCCATTTCTTTACCGATTTTATCCGTTGATGTCTCATTGGAAAGAGCGTGTCGCGTAGATTTGCAAACTGGCCTTACTTTTTTGAAAAAGTCCCTTGGGCTTTGCCCCAGTGGCTGTTAAAGTTCCCATGTTATCCTTATGAAGAACATAATTGTTTACATTTTGATCAGCTGTATAATTTAATTGCTGTTATTTATTTTTCAATCCCATGAAACGCATTGAGTACATTTATTTACTATTTGAGTTTGTGTAAACATAACCCCCAAGACGGATCGTGTTAGTATGGTTGTATCTTAAATTTGTGTATTTATCGTTGTTTTGTGTCGCTATGACGGATCGTGTTAGCATGATTGTTACTTAAACTTGTGCATTTATCGTTGTTTTGTGTAGCTATTATTTGTTTATTTGTTGTTTTTTTTTCTTTTAAATGCCTCCGACGTGACGACAACGAAACATAGACAGGAGGCGCAATCGTGATAACGAATGCAGCTACAGAACGGTGGCGCGTAATAGGCTTAAAAGTCAGCACCTGACCCTGGACAATCTCAACTATTAGGTTAAAAATGCGCCGGCCCTAATACTACCCCAAAACGACTTTTCGTTCTCAATTGGCCCTCTATCAATGACCTGTGTTGCCTGTACAGCGAGGCATTTTGAGAAGGAGATAACCGGCCGGAATGCTTTAGGTTTATCAATAACGAAGATAAACATAGTTTGAGTTACACACCGGTGATCTTTGAGTTGACTCTTTTAAACTCATTGTGAATATGAATGTTATTCTTTTTGAAATAACTCCTGTAATGCTTTAGAATTGCTCGAATTCGAGCAACATGTACACTAGTGGTGATTAAATAATCTATATTCAAATACCAGTATCCTCTCCAACTACCAGAAAAACAATTCAACTACTTGAGGCCTAAACAGATATAGCCTATACTGTAGTATCAAAAATTATTAAGTATTGCGACCATTGCAACTGTCGGCTACTCTTTAACCACTTGAAAACACCCATAATCAACAAATCAACAAGCGCAGATAGCTCAGGAGGTAAGGTAAGAGGCTCACAAGGCGAAGGTACCAGGTTCGAAACCCGTCTGGGCAAAAACTTTTTTCTCGTTTTTTTCTTCAAAATTTGTGTTTATTAACTATTTAATCAATTTACTAAACTTATAATTAAGCTTTTCATACTAAATCTATATTATTTTGTGTTTTTTATGTTCAGGCCCAGACCACACTTTATCCCAGGGACATCCCATAGTAGTCCCATATGTCCTGAGAATGTCCTGAGGACTACCCTGGGATGACCTCGGATGTCCCATGGATATGCGTGTGAGCTTATCCGTAGGACATCCCCGGGCGGGGACATTAGGCATTCCTGTGGATATCCTGTGATATCCCAAGTTGACCATAGGACCACTATGGGATATCTTGCATATCCTGTCGCAATATCCGTGGGATGTCCTGAGGAGAAAGTGTGCTGTCTGGGAAGTAGTTTCCAATGGGGAGAAAGTAAAAATGTGGCTGGAAATATTATTTTAGACTGTAGTGTACTCTAAGAGTGGCTTATTCAACAACGTATATCATGTTCTATTTTAATAAAAATGCTATATCTGGTAACATATAGAACCATATATACAAAAATAATTAAATATAGACAGTCAGCCGATAGGTTCTGGTCGTAGCGTGTACACGCTACTACGTGGCGTTCCCAGCGCCACAACCTATGGTAAACGCAGCACGGCTGAAGGTCTATATTTAATTCTTTTTGTCTATGATAGAACATAAAAAAATATATTTAGAGCTGTGAGTATTCAATGTGTGTAGTATATTGAGACTGAGTAGTCTTTCAATGGGCAGATTAGACTCAGCTACAGACTGCTAGTTTATATAGTGGCAAGACTGTGATTTGATTACTCACTTGTGCAGTATGTTTAGACTGAGTAGTCTTACAAATGGACAGATTAGACTCAGCTACAGACTGCTAGTTTATATAGTGGCAAGACTGTGATTACTCACTTGTGCAGTATGTTTAGACTGAGTAGTCTTACAAATGGACAGATTAGACTCAGCTACAGAATGCCAGTTTATATATTGGCTGTGAGTACTCACTTGTGCAGTATGTTTAGACTGAGTAGTCTTACAAATGGACAGATTAGACTCAGCTACAGACTGCTAGTTTATATAGTGGCAATTAAGACTGTGAGTACTCACTTGTGCAGTACGTTGAGACTGAGTAGTCTTACAAATGGACAGATTAGACTCAGCTTCAGACTGCTAGTTTATATAGTGGCAAGACTGTGATTACTCACTTGTGCAGTACGTTGAGACTGAGTAGTCTTACAAATGGACAGATTAGACTCAGCTTCAGACTGCTAGTTTATATAGTGGCATGACTGTGAGTACTCACTTGTGCAGTACGTTGAGACTGAGTAGTCTTACAAATGGACAGGACTCAGCTTCGGAATGCTAGTTTATATATTGGTGTGACTGTGATTACTCACATTGTGCATTACATTAACACGTTTGCTGCGGCACGTCAAATGGCAGGCTTATACCATTGACTATATACCTGTAGGTATATATAGTCAATGCTTATACCCAGTGCGGCACAGCCCGCAGCATCGAACAAACCCGATTGTCGCGTGTGATTGGCTTTCCAAGTTCGGTCTGACGAATAACAAATAACGTGCGGGGATGTCCTGCTTTACAACGAGAGTCGACGTAGTTCTCTTAACACCCACAGATAACAGCACTGCTTGGAACGTAGCCGGTCAGGACAAGGTATTTCATATATCGGGAACGTTTGTTCGAAATTATAAAAACTTAGATATTTTTTAGCTTTATTTAAATTTTTAATTTTTTTTAGTTTGAACCAAATTTACCAAAGGCTTTTTGAGCTATTTATTGCAAAATGGCCCTAAAACTAAATGTATTTACAGTCAAACATATTTATAAAAATAACATTAACTATTTTTAATATTCATTTTTACGTCCATTATAGTCGTGACAGAATTTCGTGTTTTTCCATTAAAGATGCTATATAAATAAAAAAAACCACCAAAGACATTGCGTATGGACATTTTATAAAACTTCAAATGTCAAAGGAAATAAAAAAATAATAAACGTTTTTTAAAAAAAATTAAAAAATTCTATAAAGTTCCTTTTCTTGAAAACGTATGTTTTTAAACTTTCACTCGTAACTGTGAGTATACTCACTTGTGAAGTACGTTAAGGCTGAGCAATCTCTCAATGGACAGATCTGACTCAGCTTCCGACTGCTTGTCTGATTCCCCATCACTGCTCAGCTGACCTACAACATGAATAATATCTTACAGAGTAAGGACTTCTCAAAGAAATATCACTTACATAACCTGTGTACCGGTAAATTAACCATTTATATGATAACAAATGTTATTTCTCAAGGAAAACTTACCAAACTTGCTCAACGTGAGGACCAACACAAGTACTTAACAGACGGCTTGGCCATCTCACATACTTTCCCAGATGGCGTCTTATCTGACTCAAAAGGGCTAAACAATTACTACATCAGCCAAGCTCTAACAACACACTTCCAGCAATGTGTGTAAGCTGGACTTGGGAGCTTCAAAGATACATTGAGGGTCTATTTGGTGGGGGACTTCTCTTTCTCTACTCTTTAAAGTGGCCTGGATTGCACTTATTGCACACCATAGACCTCTTGTACATTGATCGCTAATTGATTAATGGTTTAGAGTTAATCAAATAAGTACCACTCAGGCAAGATTCGGAAAATGGGGCAAGATTACTCCGCTTTCATTTAGTTTGCATTTAGTTATTTGAAATATCCTGGTAAGCTATTGTGGATTAACTTTTCTTAAACATTTTATTTTCAACCATTTTTTTACACCGCAAGCCAAGCTTCATGTATCTTTATATAGCTCTTTATGCCTTGTCCCTCACCTACAGATATCTTTTTAATAATTTGTATTTAATCTTTTAAAGAAAAAATAAATAACTTAATAGCTGTGTAAACAGCAAAGTGTTCACACAGCATGACAATGACATTATAACCTCAATTCACGTGACTGTGCCAGCATGTAATTAAATGCTAATGTTATCTTTCCCCATAAGTGATAACATGTTATCTCAGTTTGTGAGTCATTTTCATAAATGTCAGGTTCATTGTTTATTGATTGTATGGAAAGTTATGTCATTTTACAATTTTGTTGTTTGAATTTTGTTTTATCGGAATTCTGAACTCCTGTATGATACTAGGTCTAAAGATTATACCTCATCATGTACATTTTTTGCTTTTTTTTTAGTGGAGCCGAGTTTTGAAATAGGAAAAACAAGAATATGAAAAAGTAGAAAAAACTACCAAAGATTGCCCTTTTTTTTAAACGGGATTTTGCTGAAAATTATATAGTACTTTTAAAAGTCTTAAATTTCTAAAAGAGCTGGAGGCAGTTCTTAGACTGTAAGAATGCATCATCTGGTCCCTAAAATTATAATCAAATTTTGAGTCACGGAACATGAACATTATATTGTAGCTTGCAATATAATGTATATTGTATAGGGCAATGAATATGAATAAATATAAAATGTTGAATAAACTAAGAATTAGTCTATATTTTATCGCCCTAAAAAGTACATTAATTAACTGTAAGTATGTAATGTGATCCTTACTTCAGTTATGTTGGTGGTTGGTAATATTTAGTAACTTAATTTTACTTTCAATAATTTTTTTTTAATAATATTTTTTTGACATTTAACTTTAAAATAACTGTAAATAATAAATTATATTTCTTTGGGTAATCTTTCTCTAATTGGATAGAGCTTGTACAATGTCGTATGTAGTGAAATAGTATCCTGGAAGTTTGGAAGTACGGAACGGGAAATGTCATTGTTATTTTTGTTAGAGGTTATTGGGGGGGGGGGGTGGTTCTACAAATAGGGTCTCATGGGGAATACTTGCATTGGTGCGCAGTCAGACTAGTTATGCCACTGCACAACAGTTATCTACAGTTACTGTGATAGCTCTGGATCGGCACTGAGCTATTTTGTTTGCCTATAGGTACTGTTTACAGGTATCACAATATGATCATTTCCATGCAATGGTAGGAAATAGTTATTTGTGTAACTAGTCCGTGAAGTGGCACTTTGCGCTCGCATTACGCATTATATTTCTCCTACAGTTACTATAAACCATGTAAACTAGGTGTACAATGGCAGTTGTCTGCTTGCAATATTGAGCGGAGCAAGCATAATTAATACAGTGCTCAATTAAGTCAATGTTACATATTCATTAAGGTTCATATGAACAAGATGTGTACTTTTTGCAGTATCCAAAGTCAATGCTAAATCTAGTTCATGTAATTGAGATGTTTCCTTTCAATATCTAAAGTTAATGGTACGCCTCGTTCATGTAAATGGATTGTCTATATTTTAGTATCCAAAGTCAATGGTGTGTAGCCTGTCATCATTTATTCATAGTTTCATTTTTATTCATCATTTCGTAGTAAATTAAGTTCTAAGGTATTAATCCGATTGCTGACCCCTTTTGTTCTGTAGTTGTAACGTGATTGTTTAGATGATTATTGTTGATAAACATATGTTACTACTCTTTGTTTACCTTTTTATTGTTATCTTGCAAAATACTGTAATGGCGACCAATCAACCCATGCCCATTTTACATTTCTAAAACATTAAATTAGCGTAGGTAGGGAAAAGCCCTGTTGTCCGATTTGTACCATTTCAGATTTATACCTTCCCATAGTTGGTTACAATTACTGTGCTAAATTTCGTGCGGGTTGCTTCAGCCATTCAGGAGGAGTAGGCTATTTGTGAAAAAAGCAGGAGTATATCAGAGCTTTGCTCACTCCGCTCAATGATTAGTATTTCAAACACCAAACAACACGTTTTAGGTTAGGTTTTAATCCAAGCGTTGGTCTTAAATTTAAATACAGTTAACACGAAACAACAAGTTGAGTCACATTTTGTAGTACTGTATCAATACTCAAAGGCTGTGAAACGCTGCACCTGCTAATCATAGTCGTAGGTATAGTATCTTTAAAGTGTTGCCAACTCATTTTGAAGCGTACAAGTATTACATGCATTGAGATGAATAGATTATAACTGGAGTCACTACTCTCTGGTTGAGCATTAGAGAAAAGCGTGCCATCAAGATGGTCGCTTGTTGCCTTGTTTAGTTGGTCACACTGTCTCGGTTGGTTGGACTTGTCAAAAATAACCCCATCTGATTGGTTAAAATTTGACAGCTATCCAACCAACCGATCCTAGGCCAACATAACAACATGAAAAACGAAAAAAAACAGCAAAAACAGTGTTACACTTTTTAAACACGGAGTGGTAACTCCAGTTATAATATTATAGCTCAGTGATTAAGTGCCTTATAAAAGCACACTGTTTTTTGTTGTTTGGTTGGAATACTGGTGTGCAGCAAAAGTAAGTAAATGCAGCAATTAACTACTTTTCCTGCTCTATATATATATTTTTTTTTTAAGAGGCCCGAAGTCCATGACGCAACCGATTGAGCCACTGACTCACCAATCTGATAATTAGTGCAAGCAGGAAGCTTACTTTTTCAGGTAACTGTAGAAAACTGCACTCGTGTTACACAAATATTTATTTCCTACAGTTACCACCTCTATATAGTGCCACTTTGCGCACAAGTTACACTTACAGTAGACTTCCTCTTATCCGGACTCCTTAGGACCAAGGCCAGTCTGGATAGTGGGTTTTCCGGTTAAACCCCCAAAAACTCATTATGTAACCCTAATATTTTACTTAAATTTAGGAGTGTATTGTATTTAGACATGTTATCACTGGTTTTCAAATCTTCCCAACGAGAACAGTCGTTTTTCAGTACAGCCCACTTCCTGCCAATCTAGTCCGATTAAACCGATATGCTGATAAAAATTGTCCGGTTAAAGAGATGTCATTTCCGCTGAGTGTAGTCCCGTTAAAAGGTGTCCGGATAAGAGGGAGTCTACTGTATACCTATTTTGTACACTTCAATGTTGGATAAATTAGCAATATCTATTTCAATATGAAAATCATGACAGCTATTTATTTTGATTTATCAAATATTTTGTAAAAATACGTCTACTAAACAAAATTCTAAAATTTGATTCTTGTGAGTACCGAGTGGCTTATAATAGACCGCATAAGTGGCTACAGCTGGTCTATCCATATTGGTGGGATGTTCACTTCGGTATCCAAAAGGAGATATGCAAGATAATACCTGCAAGATATGCATATAACAAAAGTCATCTTCATAGGTCCACCCAAGGCCCCACTAGAAAAACAGGCCATGCTGCAGCGCGGGCAGCGCAGCACTACGTCACAGGGGTGGATAGTTGTACTAAAATCTTACCATTAAAATCTGACAAATAGCCAGTTTATTTACCTAAAACATATGGGATATTGCCATGGTGGTATAGGATATTGCGAAACGGCACACGGAAGATTTTTCAGGTGCCGTTTGACGTCACTAACTGCTGACGTCACTTTGAGGGAACACCAATACCGCAACGATACTGTGTTGAGCCATCGGCCTCGGTGGTAAAGTGGATAGCGTGGCGGGCTGATAATCCGAATATACCGGGTTCGAATCCCACCGGTAGCTCTAACTTTTTGTCAAAATTTTTTTTCATATCAGCAAGTTTGGTTGGTTTGGTTAGGTTATGACAGTTTAATTTTATAATTAAAAAATTATAAAATTGTCTGTTTCTTCAGACGCAGCAGTTAGTGACGTTAAACAGCACCTGAGAAATCTTCCGTGTGCCCCACTATGGGATATTGCAGTGAATCTATTTACAAATCTATCCACTAGTGTGACATCATGGATCCTGCAGCATGGCCTTTTTTTCTAGTGGGGCCTTGGTCCAATCCTCTAATAATTGTAATTCTAAAGAATACACTAAATAAAAGTTGTAAATATAATTATACTGACTGACTCCTGCCAAGAACTGGTCCAAAGTGAGATAGCCATTGTGTGAAGAGTCGAGTGATTCAAACACTGCCTCCAGCTGATCAGGGGGAAGCTCTACCTCAGCACGAAGTCTCTGAAACATTTTAACTTTTGGTAATTAGTGTCATGAGTGAGTGCCCGCAGGATTTGAAACAGGGAGGTGCAATGTATAGGTCTAACGAACGTCTGGGTTGTCCGGGGCCTTCCTTGGGAAAATGTCTGAAAATATAATGTTTTGAAACGTATTTTTACGCTATTTGGTAACACATAGAACCAACCAAAACAAAATACTATATTGTGCATCAAGGAGGGTAAAAGTCATCGTTTTTATGCCAACATCAAAAATTAATAAGCTATTTGAAGTTATTATTATGTATAATTTATATGGTTAAATCTACAAGCCAAACAATTATAATGAAAAATACCCCCGCCGCAGCAAACCTGCAGACTAAGCCAATTTCCATTTGTCCGAATTGATTTTCAATTAAACCTATTTAAATAACATTAGTTTTAACGAGTACCTAGGTTTGCTGCTACAAGGAAACGAATAAAGTGTGTGTGTTTTTTTTTTGTAAAATATTAATAGCTTAGTGTAAAATAAATAAATTCGCCTAGTTTGATCAAAATATATCCATAAACAAGCAAACTACAACATTTTACAATATTCTCCATAAGAATAACATGGGAATTTTAAATTTACAATTTTTTGAATTTTCTCCGTTACCAATAACCGTACAAAAACACTTTGAAAAATTATTTGTTTTTTAAGCTCTTTATAAAAGTCTAGAGAGAAATTGGGAATTTTTTTGTTTTGAGGATCAAAAATGAGAAAAAACTATTTTTACCCCATAAAACCCCCTGTAAAACCCCGTTCCCACGGTAAGATCATGCTGGTTTGCAAACTCATTCAAGTTTATCCCGCCTTACACCTTTAAACCAAATTTCATCAAAATCGGACAAAAATTACTCAAGTTGGGGACATCAAAATGAAAAAGTAAATCGGTCCCAGGCCTAGGTCTTACCTTACCATGCTACCTACGGTAATGGCTACTTCCCTATAGGGAAATTCGCTAATAAATTTACAGTTGAATAAAGCCTAGATAACAGCCAAGAAAGTTGATACTTTGTTTTCTGAATAGTTTTGTATAAAACTAAATAAATACTTATCAATCAAATCAATCAAATCAAATCATTTATTGTAGTCAGACAATATACATTGTATTACAAACGTCAAACTTAAATTACTTCTAAATATAAACAATAATATAATGCAAATAATAAAATAACAAAACTGGTAGCCTACTATAACACTGATACACATATGAAAGTAATAATTACAGAGCAGGTGGACTTAGCTTCAGACTTTTTATTTTTTTTTTTTTATTTTTTTTTTTTTATAAATTGGGCTGTTCAAAAAATTCAGCAACAGAGTAACATGCACGTTCTAAAAGGTATTCTTTTAATTTAATTTTGAATTTTGCTTCTGACGTTAAGGATTGTAGATTGGCTGGAAGTTTGTTAAGCAGTTTTGGCCCGAGATTTTGAGGTAATGATGCAGCTAATTCCAATCTATGAGAGGTTTGTCTATGATGGTGTCTTTGCCTGGTATTATAATTATGAATATCTGCACCGGTTACTTTTGTTGTTGATTTAAACCTATAATATAATAGAATTTCAATAATATATATCGAAGGTAACGTTAGAATTTCAAGGGATTTAAAAAAATTTCGGCAAGGTGTTCTTCTGTACACACCTGCCATAATACGAATGGCTCTTTTTTGCAACCTAAAAACGCGTAAAAAATTTGATTGTATCGCAGACCCCCAGAGAATAATTCCATACCTTAATCTTGACTCTATGAGTGAAAAATAAACTAATCGCATAAGTAATAAATTTTGATATTTTGCAAATCTATTCATTAAAAATAATTGAGACGACAGCTTGGAACACAGTGCATCAATGTGAGGTGTCCAAGAAAAAGTGTTATCAAAAATCAATCCTAGATATTTAACTTCTGTTTCTAAGGGTAACTCAAATTCGTTCATAAATATTACTGGGCTGGCCTCAGAATGGTTAGCTTTTGAAAAATGTATACAGCTTGATTTGCTTGGATTAACGTGTAAATTATTGCTATTAAAGTATTGATAAAGGTTTGATAGTTTTACAAAGCTATCAATTTCTAGGTTATCTAATGATTTATTTTCAAACAAGAGGGCTACATCGTCAGCGTACATAGTTATGTTTAAGTTAGGGAAGGTCTTAGTTATACTATTTGTATATAAAATGTACAAAATAGGCCCCAAAACTGAGCCCTGGGGAGTTCCGAAATTCACTTGTAGCTTATTTGAATGTACACAATCGTTAACCTTTACACTTTGAGTTCTCTGTAGAAGATACGACTTAATCCAGTCAAGGGGCAGGCCACGGATTCCCAGATTATAAAGCCTCTCAAAAATTACACCGTGGTCCAAGCAATCGAATGCCTTCTGAAAATCCAGAAATACCCCGATAGCTTTGTTTTTATTATTTACAGCACTGATTATTTTGGTAATTAAGTCAACGGTAGCATCAATCGTACCTTTCCCCTTTACAAATCCAAATTGTTCTTTACATACAAGGTTGTTTTTGAATAAAAAATCAAGAAGCCTTTGCGCAAAAACATGCTCGTATTACTTATTTCAGTTAAACGTCAATTAAAAACACTTTGTAGAAATTACCATTATGAACATACTTTTATAATTTTTTTTTTAAACCCAAACGATTAAGGAACATTATGGGTATTAAATTTATTTCTTATTTTTTTAGCCAGGGGGTGCAAGTGCGCCCCCTTGCAACCCCCTGTGGGCGCCCATGATTAATGTCCATGTTGTATTTATTTGTCTAATGGCCAACTAAAAGATGCACAAATAATGAGAATGAGTTAACTTCTTTAATTACATTTAGGATTTTTTTACTGCAGTTCCTAAATCAGTTTTTACTTTATAGTTGAATATTTAATTACTAGGATTGTTTTCATAGCATTGAAAGCCATTTGAGCGGAGTGATCACGTTTCACGGTTTTTAATAAAGCAATAAATAAATAAGATGCTTATAGATATAATACAAAATACAACTATCTCATTAATTAATTTAACTTAGCCTATCAGTTTCCCTCAGAACTATCAACATCTATAACAAGTTTTATTGAGCGGAGAGAGTGAAGCAAGCGAAGCTCTTATACGTAGAATCTTAAGCATTTCGTAATACGCAAACTCCTCCTAGACAGCTGAATCAATCGTTTTCAAATTTTGCATGGTGATAAAGACCATATCGGTGAGTGCCAACATCTATATGGCGTTAAAAAAGTCTCTCAGGAATCCGCCCCACTGGGTCTCAAAGTTTCAATGTAATCTTAAATGTGATGAAAAGAAATTAATTTGTTAGCTGTAATTTAGCATAATGACGCCATTCGATGTATACCACTGTATATTATATGAATAAAGACATTTTCAATTCAATTCAATCCTTATGGAAGCAGTATTTGACACATAAACAAAGACATATGATCAGCTGTTGACTTTGGAATGCAGTAGATAAAGAAATAGATATAATCAAATGAAGACACTAGCTTGAGGTCCGTGACGTATGAAGTGGTAAAGGAAGTAGTAAAGGCAAGCAGTCTGGAGTGTGGAAACTGTTTATGATGATTAGATTAAGGTATCTGCATTCCTAAAATTCTATGGGAAGGGAGGAAAACAGGTCCCCGACATAGGAAGTGGTGAAGGAAGTAGTCAAGGCGAGCTGTTCGGAGTGTGGGAACTGTTTATGACGATTAGATTAAGGTATCTGCAATCCTAATATACTGTCTCTGAGACCAGAAGGTATGGTTATCTAGAGTGTGGGGGGTTCTCCCTGGAACCTCAATTGAGCAAAGGGTGTCGCCACCTTTGGTGGATAGGTTCATCCGGGTGGCACTTCTATTCCTGCCTCCTTTTGGGAAACCCTGATGACCTGGCAGTGATGATGGGCTAGATGGGCAAACGAAGTAGATCGGGTGCTGGGTTCAAGCCCGCTGGGGGTGTTCGGGGATCTATCGCCCTGGTCACCTCTAGTTTCCCAGGAACTGGGTAAGGCCTCGATTGGGTAGTGGTGGTAATAGGTGGTTGGGGTTCCCCACCAGCTTGCTGGTGGTCCCCTTCTTCCTGGCTTTGATGGCTGGTTCTGCCTGTCAGGGATTAGATAGGTCCCGAGTGTTGCTTGCACTAAATGCGTCAGGGCACTCCACTATGGTCCTTCAGGGTGTCGTACCTGGGGGAACCCAGGTGGAGTGGGCGCTTGACCAAGTAGTCGGTATCCCAGGTTAGGATTGAGGGGCAACCCTCTTTCCGATGGGAATTGCCTTTGGTAGCCGATGAGCTTGATGGCCTTAAGTCATCCACCTCATGGCGTGTTCAGGGTTGGTACGTAAGCTCCGGCCTACGCCATGGGGCCTGGGTTTAGGATTTCCAGGTACCGGGTAGTCGTCGGGGAGCTTTGGTTCTCACAACAAAAACAAATGAAAAAAAAATGAAAAAAAAATCCTAATATGCTATTGGAAGGGAAGGAAACAGGTCCGCGACGTAGGATGTGGTGAAGGAAGTAGTAAAGGCGAGCTGTTCGGGGTGTGGGATCTGTTTGTGACCATTAGATTATTTGCAATCCTATGATGCTATGGGAAGGGAGGGAAACAGATCCGCGACATAGGAAGAGGTGAAAGAAGTAGTAAGGTGAACAGTGTGGAGTGTGGGAACTGGAAACCGTTTGTAGCAGTTTTAATTTATCTGCAAGGCTGAAATGCTAAGAGAAGGGATGGAAGCATGCCCATGACATAGGAAATGGTGAAAGACGTAGTAAAGGCTAGCAGTACGGAGTGTGGGAATGTTTGTGGCAATTAGATTAACGTATCTAAAATGCTATAGAAAGTTATGAATACAGGTCCACGAAGTAGGAAGTGGCTTAGGAAGTAGTAAAGTATGAGCATCAGCATAGTGTGAGATCCCTCTGTGGCAGTTAGATTAATGTATCTTTAATACTAAAATGCTATGAGAAGGGAAGGAAACAGGCCCCACGACGTAG